TGGCCATGTGCCCAGACTTGCCACAGAAGAGGCAAAGCTTGTTCTTGATTCTGAACTCGTGTATTTCTGGCTTCAACTTCCCATCAGGACCAAGAAGGGAAGCGTGCGCTTTGGCTGTCTTCGTCTTGTCGTTATTGTTGGAAGACGACGAGGAAGCCTGTTGCTGAGAGCTGTTGGAGCCCTTGTTGCCAGAATTCAAATTACCACCGGAGACGTTTCCCGTTTCCGGAGTTGTTGCCAGAGGAGCCAGAAGAGCCAGACGATTTTTTCGAAGAGGAGTCCTTTTTAGAACCCCCAGACCCAGAATTCGAGCCACCGGAATGGCCACCGGAATGGCCAGAGCCCGAACCAGAACCAGATCCACCACCATGAGAATCTCTTAACTCCCGCTCCCTCTGCTTCTCCGCTTCACGCTTCCAATACTTGCCGTCGATGAGACGGGCAGTTTGCTTGACTCCGTCCAGCGTATTAGCGTAGACGTAGTGCATCATGTCGTCCTTGATACGTTTAGGAAGACCGGAATAGAAGGTATATCGGAGAGCGGAATCACCCCAATTGGTGATGAGAGTGAGGGTGTCGAATTGGATAATGTAAGTGGTGATCTTATCACCGGACTTCATCGTCACATTCCGGATTTTGTCCTCCGCGTCGCCAACCGGGTCCTGAGGACCAAAGTTGTCCTGGAGTTCCTTGATGAACAAAGGAAAATTGCCGTCCCAAGCCGGAATCGCAATAGCCTGGCCCTGATTCATGGCATACAGGTTAGGCGTCAAATACGCCAATGCGTTTCCGCAGAGATACGAGGTGATGTAGATTATTTTCCGTCATCAGTAGAGAAATCTTGCTCACGCTCGGCAAAATGCATATAGCACTGGGTGAGGAAAGGGACGAGCCCAGGGCTCGGAACCGTCGAACGTGTCCGGTGCCCGGAGAAGACTCCGATTGGAACGGGCGCAGCATTGTTGCGCTGAGGAAAGTTGGTGAGGAAATGTTGGAAATTTTGGAGAGCGCCAATCATAGCGCGTTGAAGATCATGGCCCGGAGAGCCAGCTCGAGGGACTCCGGCACCACCACCTCCACCAGGTGGTCCACCACCTCCACCTCCTCCTCCTCCTCCCTCCTCCTCCTCCGCCTCCTCCGCCGCCACCACCCCCTGGAGGGCCCCAGAATGGATTTCCAGATCCACCAGGGCCGCCACCAGGACCACCAGGACCACCAGGTCCGCCGCCACCAGGAGGTCCACCTCTGGGAGAGCCAGGAGGGGAGCCAGAGGGCGAAGTCAAGAATCGACTCGGCTTGCCGCTGAAAGTCGGAGAGGCGTTGCGGTTTGGTTGACCTTGACCGGAATCGTTTCCGTTTCCGGAGCGACCTTGAGTAGGGCTCATGGGCCTGCTAAAAGCGTGCCGATACATCGGAACTGGCTCGCTTTCTTCTTCAATGTCGTGAAGGCGTGTGGGAGTGAGGGGTCGGTAACGAAAAGTAGGAGAGACGGGAGGGGAACTGACGCTAGAGAAACGACCCGTGTTTGGATGCGGAGTCGTTGGCATAGGGATAGTACTTGGATGAGGATCCTGCGGAGACATGACAAAACCAGGCCGGAAAGGGTTGGTCGTGCCAGTAGGTGTCCGAGGAACGGGAACAGGAACCGAAGTGACAGGAGCGCCAGCGTTGTAGGTGAAGTTCGCCATAGGCGAAGTGAGAGGAACCATTTGTTCGTAGAAGCGGGATGAACGCCGTTGACCAGTATTGGGCGGGGTCAATGTTGTCAGAAGAGAGGCGTACGTTTGACATGGTCAAAAAGAAGTGAGTTTGTAAATACTGTTAAGTGCCGTGTCGACCAAAGGGACGGAGACGGAGACGGAGACGGAGACGGAGACGGAGTCAAAGTCGGAAACGGAATCGAGATCGTAGAGCACTTGGGGCGGAACACCACAGAAGGATGTTTGGGTGACCGGGGCTTCCAGTTGACCAAGACAAGACAAGAAGAGAAGAGCGGAGTCGAGACGACGCTGGGAGATAGAGACCAGCAACGTTAATTTACAAACTGAAGTACGTGATAATACATCAAAGTATTTATAGTACGAGAAGTAACGGAAACGGAATAAGGTATAACAAAGTAAGTAACAAGATTAGAACAAAGTCAAGTAAAGTAGAAGAGGAGTTGCATACGAGGAACAAGGCATAGATGATTGCATAGATCATAAGTCGGGGTAATTGGAAACGCTCAGTAAATCTTCATTGCGTAAAAACCAAATACCGGAGTCGATATCGGAATCGGATGCCGGAGTCGGCACGGATATAACAGACTGCCTGTACAGCTGCCTTGCAAACTGCCGTTGGGTCTGCCGCATGTACTCCCATCTGTTAACCGCCATTGCTATTGTGCCCGGTGTCAGTTATCCATCAGCTAGTTGTTGAGCAGTGCTGATACAACCATTCAACCACCCCTACAAGTCAATAGACGAAAAATTGTTGGTTGAGCCCATATACAACTTTTATTTTGTGACAATTTGTGACATTCTCTGATCTTTGTACTGTTAAATGGTGAACATTTTCTTTTTTTGGAAATTTGTTATGCTTGTTACTCTCAGTCATACTATATAAAGGTGTGACACAGCGTGGATCACTTCAGATGTCTGTGGGCGAAATTTTCCTTTTTGAGAGAATATGTCACACATGTCACATATCAGGACCTAGTGTACATGACCTGTGGTAATTATTCAGCTTTATTTAACCCTACTTTCTGGTAGTGAGGAAGAAGATGTCAAAGGGAGGGGTGATTCTATATTGAGCTCTGTTACTGCATAACTAGATCATTTCCCATCAGTTGATCAAATAACTATTTCCAGATATATTGGAGAAATCTTCTACTGCTTAGATCACTGAGGTATACTTGTTGTGCCTAGAATGCTTTGCAAGACTACCTTGTGCTGCTCCAGACATTACATGATGGTAATTTAAGAAGCAGATCTGGTGATCTGACTAGCTTAAAGTACTTAGTTTATTTTATTTTTTTTGAAAAGGTTTTTTTGCCTACAAAGTTGCACAGATGCAAAGATGTACTGTACTAGGTTGATCAAGTGTGTATGCCTTTTTGGGATTTCCAGATCTTCTTTTATTTTATTTAAGGTGATGTTTGATGATGACTTTTTTGGTCAATGTAATGCATATCATGGACACTTGATTAAAATAGTATGGTGGTTAGGTCAATTGTGCAACAGGTAGTTGTCCTGTTGAACTAGTGGTGAATAATATGAAGTTGCCCCCATATGAAAGTACACCGCGGCTCGCAGTTCATCGCGGACTTCACCCAAGAACTTTGGCGTCTAATTGGCATCAAGCCCGCCACGTCCACCGCATACCACCCGCAGACAGACGGTCAGACAGAGCGCGTCAACCAGGAGCTGGAGCAGTACTTGCGGATCTTCACCAACTACCAGCAGGACGACTGGGATGAGCTGATTCCGGCCGCGGAGTTCGCCTACAACAACCATGTTCACTCCTCCACGCAGCAGGTCCCCTTCATGACGGACACGGGACGGCTCCCGCGCATGGGCTTCGAACCCGGAGTCCGTTCCGCCATGGAGTCAGTGAACGAGTTCCGCGACCGGATCGCCACTGGTGTTGCTGAAGCCAAGGCCGCGCTCACTAAGGCCAAAGAGGAGTACAAGCGCTACTACGACCGGAGACGGACTCCGTCTCCGGAGTTTAAGGTTGGCGACCGTGTTTGGCTGGATGCCTCTGACATCAGGACGACTCGCCCCTCGGAAAAGTTCTCCCATCGCCGCCTTGGACCATTCAAGATAGTCGCGGAGATCAGCAAAGGTGCCTACAAGCAGAGTAACGACCGAGAGCAGAAGGGGAGAGGGCGTGGGAAAGAGGCGTGGGAAATTTGGCGATAGTAACGGGGTAGTGTCAGGGGAAACCCTGATGCCGTCACTTGATCCCATCAAGCGCTGTGTCTCCGCTCACGTCTTCTCGTCTCCACTCGCGTCTCTGTGTCTCCACCCGAGTCTCTGTATTCCTGCACCCTGACGCTCCTCCTCCACGTCTCCTACCACATCCCGCATCCAGTGGTCCCCAACCTCTGACTGCCATGGCCACCCCTTTCTGGGAGTCTCTCCGGAGTCACCATCAGGGATCACTAATGCCATCAGAGACCTCTCCGGATGTGCACGCACCACTTTCCTCTGAGACCTCGAGCCTATGGCCTTATAGCCTCTCTGGGCTGTCGCTCATCGAGGTCTCCCTGCAACCTCTACCTGTTGGACCTCTTGGTTGTCCCCAACCTATGTCAGCATTTGGGCTTACGTTCGGATGGCTGAGCCCCGCCATGGCTCCGCCCCCCACTCCGCCACCACGGCCCCCGTCATCGGGTCTTCCTTTGGGTGAGGCCTACTGCCGTTAAGGCCCGTGCCTACTGTAGCGCCCCAGGCTGCACGCCCTCACACCTCCACCTCTCTGGAGACGTCCGGGGACATCTCCGAGTGACCCTCCTGTCGCTACCCTCCAGTGGTTACGGATGGCCGCCATTCCCATTGGTCCTTTCCGACACTCCCCAGCCCTTGGGCTAGACCGACTCCTTCCCTCTCCGCTCCATGCCCCCCCTCTCCGTTTCCGGCCGTCCACGTCACCTCTGCTCAGGACTCTGATTTCGAGCCTCGCGAGGTTGCCCTTACACTGCTAAATAAACTTGTGAATTACATAAGTTGGAACCTATCTCTAGAAACACACCCGGTTTTCAGCCAAAAATGGTCCCCTAAGCAGGATGATATTTGTGTTCATATTTCTACTGTATGGTTTGAGTTTAACCTGTATATAGTGAATATCCGTATGATAATTTTGACTGAATTAATATTTGTTGGCAGTATGTCAGCCATACGATCGGCATAACTTGAACGCCAGCCAAATGTTTCAAAGCCAAAACAATCATAACAAGACATCTTTGTGATAACATTCGTTATTTCTTCAAGTCTATCTATGCTTGCATTTCATTCGTCTTACTCATCCGCTGCGTCTCCTTCAACACTGCCCTCCGAGACGGACTCAGCCTTGAGCTCAGGCACCAGCTCCGGGTAGTCATCCTGCAGAGGAAGTTGAGGAGGGGTCCAATTGACAGAAATGTAGCACACCTTATACAACTGGAATTCGTAGTACGCGTAAGGCGGCGGCCTGACGGACATCTAGCATACCAGTTAGCTGCCAGGACCCACGCCGGGGGTTGGTGACTCTACGTACCACCAGCGGAGGCAGACCAGCGTAATCACAGAAGCGCCGGTCCGGGTAGTAGAGACCCTGTGGAGGCACGTCAGGAAGAGGAGCGGGTCAGTGTTGACTGTGTGGGGACGTACGAAATAATTATGGTGCCAATGGTCGGCGAACGGGGGCAGGTCGTAGCTGCGGGCGCTGGCATCGGAGAGCTGGGCGGTTGCGGTGGGTCAGTGCGGCTGGCGTATGACGCGGATGGAGGCGGGCCCACCGTTGGGGACGATCTCCCGGACTCGGATGCAGACTGCGTCGGCGACCGACTACGCAGCTAAGAGTTGGATCAGTGATGTTAAGCCTATGAGAGGAGAGCGACGTATACCTCCTCAGGCACTGGCAACGGTGCCTCCACTCCCTCCATTGCCGCCTCTGGCATGGGCTCGTCGCGCGCCTGCACAAATCTATCAGCCACCATGGCAGCAGAGCTCAAGAAGACGACATACGTAGCCCTCTACAGCACGAAGACGTTCCTGGAGTTCGTCGACCTCGCGCTGCTTATCCTGCAGCGCACGTGTCAACACGGACACCAGGGCTGGGTCGGCGGTAGAGTTTGCAGCAGAAAGTGGTTGCGACATAGTGGGGAAGGGAAGAAAGAGTCGACGAAGGAGGGGGGGGGCCTCGCCCTCGGCCTTATGTGGTGGACGCAGCTCGGGGCTAGAAGCTAGCGGATGTCACAGCGGTAACACGAAATCCTAGTTTTGGCAAGACAGCGAGGCCTGGAACCCTGCAACGTGGAGCATCGGCGGCGGCGACGCGCCGAGGATTTGACGAAAGTTCTCCCAGAAAGGGCATCGACGGTGAGAGTCGAGATGCTGCTGCTGCATCGTCGTGGTGCTAAGGAGAGTTTGTTGACAGTGCTGAGTCACCAAGTCGTGACTGTGGGAATCGGCCACATCGGCGCCGACGGAGCTTCTCGCCGAACCTGTGTGACGACGATCGATTGATTGATTAGTGTGACCCACTTGTCCGGAGCCACCACGCGCATGGACGCTGAACCACGATTTCCCTTTGAGCTCGAGAAGGAGGTCTTCGAAACGGCGGCACTAGCGTATCCAGAGACGATACCCACACTTCTACTCGTCGCCCGCCGCGTCTCCGTCTGGTTGGCATAACTTCTTGTACATATGTTTTTCTGGCTGACCAGTGACCAGGGTTGAGCCTTTTCTCTACCGTACCGTGCATATCGGCAACAAGGGCTCGAAGCAACTAAGTAACTGCGTTGCGTGCCAAGTCCCCCACCTTCATCGCCAATGCCGTTCGCTGCCTGGTGCTGGACTACTCGTGTCCCATCAACAACGGGACCCTGTCCCTGCTTGCGCGCTGTACCCGGGTCACTGCCGTGGGAATGAACGCCAAGGACACAGCCGACACGCTGCTGCCCGCGCTCGCCGCGCTGCCACTCCAGCGGTTCGCCGGGTTCCTCAGCCACCTTCTCCCGACCGACCTCCATGCCGGCGGTGGCCTCACCCTCAACGCGGACGACACCCTCGCCCACACGTTCTGGCAGCAGCTCACGCATCTCGACGTGTTCGAGACGCTCGACACGGCCCGCGGCCGGGCCGCCCGCGCGCTGCTGCCCCGCCTCCCGCGCCTCACACATCTCGCGGTGGGCCACGCGGGCGTACTCCCAGTGATACGGCACCTACTCGTCGATACGCTCCAGTCTTGCGCCCATCTGCAGGTCCTCGTCGTGCTTGGCCACCCCAACGTCGCTGGGTCCGGGAAACAGCCGCTTCCGCGCCTGCTCAGGGACCCCCGGGTCGTGATCCTCGTGCGGGCCGACCTGACCTGGGACGACTCCGTCCTGCCTACGCCGAACCTCTGGACGACGGCGGAGCAGTTCCTGCAGAGGAAGCGGAGGAACGAGGTCGGACGTGTGTTTTCTTGACTGTTGACAAGGAACTGGTTTCTTACGGGTTTCCAGCGGACGAATATTGGGCGTGATCATACATCGATTGACAGGAACACAGAGACTCCAAGGTCCTCGCCCGCCCGGAACACACAAGCCCCGCGCGATCTGTCGGCGCTTTGATGTCGGCATTCCAGCCTTCAATCGTTCACGTCAGGAATGTAATCTCGACCGGCGATCAATGTATTTGTGGCAGCCCGAATGCCAATCTGACAGCAAGAATGCGCGATTCTTGCAGGGACTTAGAAAAGCTCTGCAGACGGTACAGTATATATGTACACCCAAGCTTGCGCATTCTCTCTCTCATCCGTCTACTCCAATATGCTTCGCTCCATTTCCCTTACCCCCGGCTCCTCCTCATCCACATCCACCCCCGCGTCCCTGCTCTCCAACTCCTCCCTTCTTTCTCACAACCCACTCGCGGCGCTGCACGCGACCATGGGCACGATCGTCACGAGCGAGATCACGCCGCGGGTGCTCGTCGCGGACTGGCTCGTCGCGCAGAACTGGGACGCGCTCAACTCGCTTGGCGTGACCCACGTCGTGAGCGTCTGCGAGCTGCCGCCGATCGTGAGCAGCCGGATCAAGCACATGCACGTGTGCATCGTCGACCTGCCCATCGCGGACATCTCGGACCACTTCGAGAAGACGACGAAGTTCCTCCGGGACGCGCTGGCTCAGGAGGGCACACGGGTTCTCGTGAGTCTAAAACCGTCAAGGAAACAGAGCGGGTTGTTTATCTGTTCGCAGGTCCACTGTCTCGGCGGCCTGAGCCGGAGCATCTCCGTTGTCTGTGCCTACCTCATCGCCGCGAAGGGCCTCACGGCCGCGGAGGCGATCGCATACACCAAAGACCGGCGGCCCGTCGCCCACCCGAACATGGGCTTCCGCCACCAACTGCGGAACTGGGCCGCCAAGTTCGGCCTCCACGACAACGACGGACTGGAGGGGGATGCTGCAACGAGCCCGAAGGCGGGCGGCGGGCTGCTGTCGCACGTCAGCCGGCACACAAGCGTGCACCTGCCGAGTCTGCCCGGGTCGGGGCTGCTGCGCGGGGGCGTGGTGGGGAAGATGGTATCGGACAGCGTCGGGCGGCTCGCGGGACATGGGGGGCACGACACCGCGGTGTTGGCGGTCGCGCGGACGAAGGCGCTGGGGCCGGACTGGAGCGGGACGGCGACAGTGGTGACGCAGACAAGCGTGAATGCAGACCGGTCGGTGGACGTCGCCGTGAGCGTGGCGGAGACGGTGATTGCGACAGGCACTTTGGCTGGTTTGGGAGAAGTTTAATTCACAAGACGTTGGTAAACTATCTGAATTTGAATTTGAAGGACACTTGTTACTTGTACTATGAAGCAAACACGTATTGAACATGTACTTGGAAGTTGGCGAAAAAGGAAAGATGAAACGGGCCAAAGAGCCCCCAGCCGACTTGAACGACTGACCTTGTCAGGAGGCTTAATCACGGTCCACGGACAAGTGCACACTCTACCACTGAGCTTTAGTGGATGCTCAAGATGTTGCTGGGACCCACTGATTGATATCGATGCTTCAGACACTTGCTGGCACACTATTAATGTAAGTACTTACTGAAGGATTCTCTGTTTAACTTATGATGCAATGGCGTGAGTAAACCCCTGGGTATCCAGAGCCTTACTCATACTCATACTCATACCTGCACAGCCACCATACCCATACCCATGGGTATGGGTATGAGTAGTCATGGGTATGAGTATGGGTTTTACTCATGAGTACTGTCAATTCTAAACCCCAGGTGATATAACTCAATTTTTCTGCTGTGGCACCCACCCAGTGCTTGCACTTTGAGCAAGAACCAAGAGGGAATGATCAATTGCACTTGGTTATTGATATTGACATGATGTATCTTATCTAATCTACCCATGGGTCATGCACACATAGGTTGGCAGGTTAGAAATTTCTAATCTATACCTGTACCCGTGCCATTGCCTAGTTTAACCAAGGGGTTCAAGATCCTTATCAGGCACATGGGGTAGGGGGGGTGGGGGCGCAAAAAAAAAAAACTTTTTGTATATGAAAGATTTAGGCCTTATATAAGTGTAAATACACTGGAAATATAGTGTATACACTCTGCTGTCAGGGGAACCCCTGCTTCGGCCTCCTTCGGACTGTCCGAGCGCATCCGAGGCACATCCGACCGGCGCCCCCTCGGACGCTCCGACCCACCCCGACCATCGTCCACGGCCTCCTTCACCCGCACAATCACCAATCCGTCAAGACCCTCCCAACGGTCACCCTGGGACAGAGCCTGCGACGCCGCTCAGGCCTTCTGCGCTCTACGTCGGCAGTTACGGACGACCAGTATATAGTTGGCGCCCTAGCAGGTGGACTATTAGAGTTTCTTCTCTTTGGATCCTCCCCTGCTAGGCTTTCGTCGGAGTCTCCAGGGTTGCCCCTACAGCTATTTTCTATAGTTCACCACTCTTATACTTATATCTATATATTTTCAGGCCCATGAGTTTAGATAGCCCACTCTGTCATAGGCCCATCATCAGGTAATGGATGGGAGGTGAACATATTGAAGAGTTAATATGGCCTGCCATGTGTGTTTGAAGGTTCCAGGTACATACATACATACACATATATAAAAAATTTTGCAAAAAAAAGTTTCACAAAGAGTGAATTTTTTATCCCAACTTTTGATTGCATCAGTGGTCACATGATGCGAATCGTAGGAACATATTACCTGATATGGCAGGAGGGGGGAGGGGGTCCCCCAGGGGTCGGAAAAAAACTTTCCGACCCTATATCCATGATTCAAGACTTGAACCCCCCTTGAGTTTAACTATATGCCAGACTCTTACATGGAACTGGCCAGATCTTAATATTGTAGTAAACACCTGAAAGACAGTTGAGACATGGAGCTGAGGGACTTTTTAAAGAGTGAATCCATTACCAACACCACTCTCAGGCTTTAGGTCGGGTTGTGCAAGGCTCTTCTTAGAAATGTATATGTGGAACACTGGCAGAACAGACAAGTCATCACGTTAGAGCAGCAGTCCCTTGTCATTGTCAGCATGAGATGGCCTGCTGAGAGGTGATTATTGTGATGGCCAAGTCCGGTTCAGTCCGGTTCTTGGCCTAATTTAGCTGAACCACTGGTCACCCGTAGCTATAAGATTTAGCCTAGCCTCCAAGGTGCACCTAGGATATCCATTGTCTAGCCCACTAGCTGCACACAGCCTGGGTGTACCTAGCTATCTAGGCTAATCCAATGCAGGGAGTCTCTTAATCAATAGCATCAATGACGAAACAAATTGTTATCTAATACATATTATTTATCATTTATGTATATATAATACTTTAAACTCCTTTTCTTCAGGCCGATGACCCGGTATGTAGTTGGGATAGCCTGTATCAATAACAATCCTAATTTGGACAAAAATGATGTATCCTGATATAGCCATCAAAAGTACTGATGGCAATCAAAAATGGTTCCACATTAAAAACATTATTTAAAAGGGTGTGTTACCATCAGTCACAAGATACCAGATAAAGCATAACAATATATTTTCTCTAAAAATAATGCTTTGGCCCAGGGAGGAGTGCTAGGCTAAATAACTAGGTATATGCAGCCTCCTGGCTGTAGCTAGGGGGCTAGGCAATGCATTTCCTAAGTACACCTACTGGTTTTAGCCTAAATACTACCACTACGGCTCCACTGGTTCAGTTCAAAACGCAGATTCGGTAAACCTGAACCCCAAACCCCAATTCAAACCGGCCTCGAACCAGCCTTTTTCAGGCAATAATGGCCAAACCCAGCTGAACCCGAGCTCTGATTTGGTTCGGAAACAGCTTTGGCCATATGTGAATGCTACACCTCGGTTCAGTCCAGTTAAGTTTGGGTTTAAACTGGAAACCCAGACTGAACCTAGCCATCACTAGGTGATCAGACACCCTTAACCTCTCCTGCTCCTCCCTGCATCCCTGTCCCCCTAGTCCTCCTAGCACTCCTGCCCATTCCCCCATTGCCACAATTTGGGCTCAGCGTCAGGCCTGACATGTTGCTCTCAGTTATATGCTTTCTGTTACAAAGAACACCAATTCAGAGGATGCTAGTTGGCCAGTGAAGGCAAGCAAGAAGCACTGTAAAAAATATTGTAAAGATAATGGAATTCGAAGACTGGGGTACAAGACGAAATCTACTCTACTTATATACACTACTACCATGTGTTTACCGTGCCCAGAATAAAAGGTTTAAAAGGCAAAGAAAAAGGTTTCTTAAACCCAGGGTTTGACACTTCCCCTGTGTTTTTATGAGTTTCAAATAGTCACTTGTGAACTAGGAAGATATCTATAAAGGAATTAGTCTAGATCATACGGCATGATTTCAGATTGTAGACTAAGATGAGTTTACAAAGGCAATCCTTGCAAGAATCTATTTAATCTTATGCAGAATACGCAATGGAGCTTTGCTGACCCGTACGTAAATCACTGAGGTATGCTGTATCCTATAACCCTTATCTTCTGAATTGGCTGCAGAAGATCTGCTGCCTGCAGCCCCATATACTTGCACCACCCTTACCTTCCCCTCAGGTATACTCCAGGCTGGTGGGCATCTGCCTTCTGGTGGGCATCTGCCTTCTAAGTCCAGCAACTCACTGGGCTTGCCCCCTCTATAGTAGCTCCTACCCCGCACACCCTATTTTCTTATGTATAATCCTTAATTATATATTATATTCCTCAGTTGATTATTAAAATACATATATCAAACCGTGGGATAGAGAAATATATTTCTTCACCCTTTAAACCTTTGATTTTGGCCCCCGGTTAATAAGAGGAGACTAGGAGAATATAAGATAAATAATAAGACAGTTATTAAATTATCAGATATCAATGCTGATGCGGATTGATCATGTGGATTTGGATATAAGACAAATAACATATAAGCTTATAGCTAGAGTATAATAATGTTTCTCATACTATACTATTTCAATCACATGTCCACATTACATGTTATACACAGCTACGATGAAGAAACCTATGATCTCCTCTCACAGTTTGACCCAACAGTGAAAAACCCTGTACTCTTCATAACCATTCATAAACAGTCTCAGCTCTTTTTTTTCAATAATCCAGAAGGTATAGTTGGGAATAAACAAAGGCAGCAAACTCCATTTTAGGCACAAGGAGTGGATAGAGAGCTTAGCTGACCTCAGATTCAGATTCAGGGACCCAAAAAACCCCTATATACATAGCTTATATAATATTCTAACGTACCGCTGTATTTGGCCACAATTTTTATTATCATTCTATATAAATCAGGTTTAGGTAAAGCACCTCACAACTGCCACAGGTAAGGTACCATTTCTCAGTTGTGGGTAAAGCACCTCACAACCAGCACAGGTAAGAGTACCACATCTTAAGTTGTATTATCATTTTATATAAACCAGGTTTCTACAACTGTCTAATAGCAAGTTCCACCTTCGTTAGTAGAACCAGGATAACATTATTAATAGTTAGCAGGCCTTGGTACCTCAATATAGGATTGACACCACTCTTTTTGTAGTAATCTAATACCATCCATGTCTTGATAAGTACTGTAATACTGTAAACAATACACAGTTTTATAAACCCCATACTGCCGCTACTGACCTCCTTCTAACATGACACTGATATGACATGATGCTGACACAAACTTACACTACTTCTATAATACCCTAATGCTTCTCCTTATAACCTTCTGTTAATACTGCCTACTTCTGCTAGTAATCCCGCTTTAGCTATCTTATTGTATAATTGAACAAATCTTCCCGCCCTCCTGCTCATCATTGGCAGATTTTCATTTATGCTATTGGGGGTTCAAGTGTCACAAACAACACCAATTCAGAGGATGCCAGTTAGCCAGTGAAGGCAAGCAAGAAGCACCTTGAAAAGGATATCGTAAAGATGATGGAATTCGAAGACTGGTAATGAGCTGTCATTATGACCACCATATGAATAATAACATATGGACACCATAAATTCATTTTCATGCACAATAGCTATGGAACATATGGAGAATCTCAGAATAAATGTTGCAAACCTTTGAATCAAATCTATATACACCCGGCCACAAGGCCTAGGCCTGCTCTAGGCCAGGGACTGATCTAGACTCTGAACCGAACCAAGGGTAACATGTCCATATTTAGCAAGTCTGACCCAGGACCTATATTAGAACTTTCCAGAAGCCTGGACTAGAACATTCTAGAACCGGATCAGCGGATCAGGTCACATTGTCACGGATTATGTAATTAATTTGAGAGTAGTAT